TTTCTTAGAATCATGTTTTTAAATGCATGAAATATATAGAATCATAAAAGAAGCCAAAGGTTAGCTAAAATGAAGATGCCATTTTTCCAGTCCTAGTTTGCAGCCCGCCTGAAATCTATTCATGGATCTCAAGGTGAAAGGACCCAGGTTGAGAACCCCTACCCTGGAGCTTCAAGTTATGAGGGACTGATTAAGTTTCCTGGCTGTGATAATACTGACCGTGTTGATCACCTGCACTGCTCATGTCAGAGCAGGCAGGGACATTATTAGAATATGGAATATCAGAGACTGGAGAGACTTCAGAACAGAGAATTTCAGAGCTGGAAGGGACCTTAGAACATGTCAGAGGCAGAAGGGAACATTTATTCAATGAACTCTGTTCACTGAACAGAGAATATCAGAGCTGGATTTTCACATTCTAAAGCCACTTCTCTGTCCTAAGGTCCCTGCCATCTCTGAAATTCCCCAATCTATATTCTAAGATCCCTTCCAACTGGAAGCTTTTCCAGTTCTCTGACCTGACTGTTAGACCTCCAGCCCAGTGTTCCTCAGCTATCTCTGCTCTTCCTCCACTCTCTTCAGTCTCTGACACTGGCTTCACTGTTACCTCCCCCTCCTGGGGCAGGTGGGAGCCAGAGTAGCTATGCAGCGGGTGGGGGTCCAGGCAGAGGTGCCCGTAAGTGAAGCAGCCCATTGTCTGGGCCTGAGTCTGGGCACAGAGGAGAAGTGTGTGCCCCTCTCTGTCCTCCACCAGCAGCCAGGCTCCTGTCTCCAAGGAAACCCCCCTTGCAGTAAGAAGCATCTTTAGCCAGGGGCCTGCCGCTCCTCTCCTCTAGAGGGTCAGGGGGGGGGGGTTAACACCATTTCTTCTCCCCACAGAGCCCTCTTGCCTCAGTTTGCAGGTGCCGGGAAGTTGATGGTGAAAGGGATTAGCGGTAGGATTCCTGTGGCCCCCAGAGCCAAGAGCCCTGTGGCTCGTGCCAAGGCTTCCTGCTGGGCACACACTAGGGCCTTTGTCTTGGCTCCCCCCAGGACTGCCTGGTGCTGGGGCACCACAGGTGGGAGACACTCATGGATGGATGAGGTCCTGCTGCTCAATGAAGCCAAAGACTTCTAATGAGTGGAGCTGTCCAACATGAGAAGTAGCTGAATCCCTCTGCCTGCAACCCTCCCGAGACAGCTGGTATGTGTGTGTGTGTGGGGGATTGAGCTGGGCTGTCTGTACAGTGTGGGCTAATAGATGGAGTCCTGCACCTCAGTTCAACTCTCATCTCAAACACTGACTTCCTGTGTGACCCTGGGCAAGTCATTTAATGTCCTGGAGCCTCAATTTCCTCAACTGTAAAATGAAATTAATAATAGCACTGACCCCACAGGGTAGTTGTGAGGATTAAATAAGTCTGTAAATCATTTGTAACCCTTAAAGGGGTGATGAAAATGTGATCCAGATTAAGAGAAGTGACATTCCCCTGAAGCCTTGAGACCATGGGGTGGGAGTGGGCAAAGAGGAGGGAAGGATACAGCAGCCATCCAGGGAAGGGCACCATATCACCTGTGTCTGTCCCCCAATGTTGGCAATCTGTGAGTGAGGAGACGGAACATAGTGGAGGAGACCAGGCAGGGCACTGACTGACCGGCTGGCTGGGGACACCCGTCACAGGGCTTATTTATTCTCCCTGTCTGGTGTTTCCTCACTACCTCCGCTGACTGTGAGGCATGGGATTTGAGAGTCAAGGGTCATAGAACCCTAGATGTTCTAGCTGGAAGGAACCTCCATGCCCTTTATTTTATAAATGAGGAATCTGAGACTCAGAGGACTTATGTGACTTTCCCAAGATCACACAGGCAGAAGAAAGGGACCAAGGTGGGTCATGAGCCCAAATTTTCTCATTCCACATCCAGTACACTTTCCACTATGCTGCCCTATCTAGGCTCTCTTCTAACCCTCCTTAAGCTAATTCTCATGGATTATTGCATTCAGGTCTGGAAACAATTATTTTTTTGTATTTGGGAGCCCAGGTAACCAGTTTTTATTTTAAAAAATATTTTATTTGTCTTTTTATTTAATTATCAAGCATTTATTTTTTTCTCTTTCTCCCACCTTACTCTTAATTAAAACAAAACATAAACAAAACCCCTTGTAATAAATACACATAAGCAACACAAATTCTCATATCGGCTGTGTTAAAAAATGTGCCTTCTTTTGCATATGAGAACATCACTGCTCTGTTGGGAGGTGGGCAGCTGCTTCATCCATCCCCAGATTTATGGGTGATCACTGCTTTCGTCGAGGGTCCCTAAGGCTTTCAGAACTGGTCATTTTTACAATGTTGCTGCTTTTTAAATTGTTCCCCTGGTTCTGCCTGCTTGACTCCGCAACACATAAGTCTTCTCTGGGTTTACATTTTAGAAAGAGTCCAAACTGAAGGGCACCCAATACAAACTGTTAGGGTGGCCACGATAGAGAAGGGCCTGGAAGCCAGGTCATACTGGACTGATGGCCAGTTCTGAGCTACTTCTCCGGCTGTCTCCTGGCAGCTTATTATGGGGGAAAGGAACAGGACAAAGGTCTTGATATGGACTCCCTTAAAAGAGCCAGCAACTTTATAACTAGAGTCCCCTAGCAGTGACATAGTCTGGTATAGGACATAGAAACCTCCTAGTTAAGGGGCTAGCATAAACATGGAGCTGAATTGATGGGTGTGGGAAAGGAGACCAACGGACTGTTAGGGTCCCCATTTTTTAAAATCTGAAAACCATCTGGAGGTTGGCTGGGCATGCTTTTTATTGAAGGTGGATGTGAGGGGCAGCTAGATGGGGCAGTGGATACAGCACCAGGCCTGGAGTCAGGAGGACCTGAGTTCAAATCTGGCTTCAGACCAGATGCTTGACACTTACTAGCTGTGTGACCCTGGGCAAGTCACTCAATCCCATTGCCTAGCCAAAAAAAAAAAAAAAGGTGGATGGGTAGAGAATAGAGGTATCTTGCCTAATGTAATCCAGTTGCAAGTGAAGAAGAAGAGAAAACCCAGGATTGGATGGCCTGAGAAGGTAGTGAGTTCCCCATCACTAGAGATCCCATTTGGGGCATAAAATGTACAGGTTACACAGGATCATAGATCTGGAGATCATCTAATAAATCCCCTCTTTTTACATCTGGGGAAACTGAGCCCATGAAGTGGGGAGTGAAGTGACTTTCCCAGGGTCACACAGCTAATGAGCATCAGAGGAAAAAATTTAACCCCTTCCATTAGGGAAGGGATGGGACCTATAGAAGGATTTTTGCTCTCAGGTATGTGGCCCATATCAAGGCTAATGAATGTGGAGTCAGGGGAACTGTGTTTGGATCCCATCTCTGCCATTTATTGCCTGTATGTCTCTTTGAGCCTCAGTTTCCTCATCCGTAAAGTAAAGGGTTGGACTAGATGACCTCTCAGGTTCCTTCCACCTCTGGGTCTGCTCTGCTCACCTGTGCAGTGGGCTTTACAATACAATACAGGCTGGGTTGTTTGCTTGTGCTGTGAAGTTCAAAGAAGAGATAGGAGTTTTTAAACCACGAGAGCTCTATTGACTAGGCTGTTAGCAAAGGCTATGTGCCTGGGCAAGCCATTGAGGTCTCCGAGCCTCATTTTCCTTGCCTGTAATAATAATAATACCAGTGATGAGTCCCTGGCTGGGGGAGTGGGGGGTGGGGTGATCTGAGAGGCTCAAATGGATGTAAATTGCTTTCAGCCGGACCTAAATGTTTACTCTTACCGCCTATGGGACCTGGGACATATCCCTTTGATGGGTCTCAGTTTCCTTCCCTGTAATGAGAGTGTTGACTAGAAATGACTTCCAGCTAAGGTCACTCGATGCCCTGATTCTATGATTCTCTGGCTAGGGATCTCCAAGCACCCCCATGGCTCTGCCATTCTTGGATACTATTATTTAAAGGGTGATGGTGGTGATTAAAGGAACATCTGCCTAATAGAGTCAGAGCCCAGCAGCCCCACAGCCTGAGAGAGACCGACAGACAGACAGACAGACAGACAGACAGAGAAGGGAGGGGCGGAGAGAGAGGAGGGAAAGAGAGAGAGAGACAGAGACAGAGAGAAAAGGAAGAAAAGGGAGCTGGGGTGGGGCAGGATGGGTGGGGAGGAGGCCTCAGGAACACGGATCCGGGTGCAGACTCCTAAGCACAGTCTGAACGGAACCCGGGCACAGGGGGCTGGGGCGGGGAGTTCGGGAATTGGGAATAGCAGGTTTCTAAGCCGGAGGAGGTTCGGCTCAGGCTAACGACGACTTCTTACAGCCAAAAGCCTCTCTCCCTCCAAGGGGCTCCCTCCTCCCGGTCTGGGTGTGTCTCTTCCTCCCGCTACCCAGATCTCAGTCAACTTGTGGGTCCGGAACTAGGTCCCAGCCCGTTAGCGCTGGCAATGCAGCTACTTAAAAAAATAAAAGTTTCTCTTTTTTCGGGGTCAATAACACTCCCTCCTTTCCGCATTCTCCGTGGGCGGAAGTCAAACTGGTTAATCAATTTACTGTTTCTCACTCGCAATATTCTATTACCCGTCCCTCCTCCGCACCTTTGCCTTAACGGTTGCCGGTCCGGAAGGCTATTCTCTCCCTTACCTCCGCCTCTTAGAAGGGTCAGCTTAAGCCTCACCTACAGGAGCCCTAGCCGGCTTCCTCCAGGCCGAGGGGGTGGGGTGGGAGGGTGTGCAACAGCATCTTTATTTTTACGAGGCTCTAACTGAAATCGAGCATTTCCTTCAGGGATCTAAAAACACGATTCTGAGCAGGGGTCCGTGGGCTTCCCCAGACCGTCCAGGGGTTCATAACCCGACAGAGGTGCAGAGTTACTGGGGCCTCGGGGGGGGGCGCCCCCAACACACACACTGAATGTCTACTAAAGGACCAGACCTTGATTTTATTAGAAACTCCCTTCTACCAAACCTTTGGGAGAGTTGGGCATTTGCTCTGGAATTTACTAGTGCAGTTTCAGGGGAGAACTGCGATTAACGGGCTGGGCCCAGGGTCACAGCGCCCTGCTCCGACAGGCTGTGCCTGAGGCAGTAAATGCGTCCAGGTCTTCGGACCCAGAGGCCAGCTCCCCGGCCACACCAAGCCTCGCCGCCTCTGTTATTGTGTCCATGTTTTAAGGTACATGCAAGCACCCGCTTCTGGAATTAATAACCGAGAACTCAACCGCTCACGACGTGCCTCCTCCCCCCTGCTAGAATGGAAGCTCCATGAGATCAGGGACCGTTTCATGTTTCTCCTCGAACCCTCACTGCCTAGCGCTTCAAAGCACCTATTATTGGTTGAATTCTGGGCAGGGGGTTAAATGCTGGACCTGTAGTCCTGAGGACCTGAGTTCCAATACCACCTCAGACACTTACTATGGCTGTGACCTCGGAGGCAAATTCCTTTCCCTCTCTGGTCCTCAGTTTCTTCACCTGTAAAATGAGGGGATTTGGACTCGATGACATCTGACTTCGTTTTCAGCTCTACGACTGTGTTACTGTGACTAGATCGCCCTGCCCTTAGAAAGAAGGCAGGGGAATCGGGGAGGGGGAGAAGGTGTGGAGGCTGGAGGGGAG